CGGGTCGAGCGTTTTTACGAGTTTTCTGCCGGACGTGTCTTGCGCAAATTTGGACAAAAACATTCTAAAAAATCAGATGTTTCGTTAATTAAAGTAAAGCTATCTCTACCAGTGCCTCTCTTTTGGCCAGTACTTTATATTCCACTAAATTTTTTTCAAATTCAATCTATTGTATACTACTTAAAACATTCAATTATCTTCGAATCTTTGTACATTGTGAACTCCCATTTTGTCTTTTAAATAATTTTAAAATTAACAGAAATAACAAATCGGTGTATGATCTACCAATTGTATTCATCTTTTTAACAAATATATGAAAGCATGTAAACTAATTTTAACGATGCCTGCAAACTATTTTATAAGCTGAACATTGAATAATTTTCATCAAATTGAAATTTGAAACGTATACGAAAAAGCGATTAATTAGTTAAACCAAAGCGCATCCATTATGTTAATACTTAGCAAGAACAATACACCACATAATATTTAAAACACACTCCGAAACGCTGTATTATATTAAATGAGTGATAACTAATGTTCAGGGGGAAAACGAAATATATAAAAAAAATATGACGTGTTTCCGCCCTCTTTTTTCGTTATCAAGCTGGTAAAACCTGCTATATTATTAAGTTCATCAATCAACGTGCACGACTCTTCGCGTTCTGCAATGAATTACTATAGGCTATACTTCAAACGGAGCAATTGACTCAAATAAAAATTATGGGATGGTTAAACACCCAAACAAACGACTCAAAAACCCTTAAAGCCGCAAGACCAAAACAAATTACGCCGTGGACCAACAGGGAAATTATCATACCACCCAGTTTTGTTATGTCAATAACCCCCTCCTGCAAGCCCAAAGCAATTTTAATCCCATTAAATGGTGAATTGGAGTTCCAGACAAGACTTAGATGGCCATTTTATGTTATCTTAGAATTTGTATGTCCGTTTATATCCGGTTATCTATTATTCTTGGGTCAATACTTGGAATCTAATACAAATTTACACGGTGGAACCACATTGATATTTTTATCACCACCCAGTTTTTATGTCAATAACCCCCTCCTGCAAGCCTAAAGCAGTTTTAATCCCCATAAATGTTGAATTGGAGTTCCACACAAGACTTAGATGGCCATTTTATGTTATAATATAATTTGTATGTCCGTTTATATCCGGTAATCTATTATTCTTGGGTCAATACTTGGGATCTAGTAAAAATTTTCGTGGTGGAACCAAGTGGAGAATTTTATCACCACATGTGATTATAGGGCATTAACCCTGGCATGCCTGTACACCCACAGGATATAGGTCATTCACATGGCAAGGGATTGTTTACAACCTCACTGAGCGGCACGAGGGGTTGACACAAAGGGATCGGCGGCACTTAAGGGTTGGACACTAAGATCTCTAATTACTGTACAAAGGCATTAGGCGCCATCTTGACATTTGTCTTTCAACACTCCTTACTCCGGAGTCGCTAGGGTCTGGCTAATGGGAGTCTACGGGCTTGTGGTGTATAGTAAGGGTGAGGATGACATGCAATGGACCGATCCAGTTAGCACCGCGCCATGGTGTTTTGACCAATCACTGCCGTGATTTATGTCCGACGTACGTGCACAAAAGTCCGACATGTGTGCACGCGCGTATGATGCGCACGGAAGGAAAATTCAGGGTGGCATTGGAGATGAGCACGTGGTTATTTGCCCACGTGCGCATTGGGCGGTGCTAACTGGATCGGTCCATTGGCCCATTGACAAAAATTATGCCCATATTTGAAAAATGTGGAGAATTTTAACATCCAGTGGCTAGCTGTTTCGAGGGTAAAACATGCGTTTTTTGCAACTATCATTATATTAAATTACTTTATAGCAGTTTTACATCAGACTACATTCCCGCTCGTTTCTGAATGTTTCAATACCTTTGATTCACAATTCCATTTGACCTGATACCTGCGATATTTACTATATGAACACTTTTTTAGTAGTTACGACCCTTTTCTTGGTCAAAATGACACTTTTGCCAAAGATTCCCGGGTGAATCCTTGGCAAATTCGCAAAAATAAGTTTCCCTTAGAACCAGAAAATTATAAAGAGAAGTTGATTTATCGTTTTACATATGTATGTAAACATACATGAATATACAAATGATTAACATGTATTTAATACAACGCGTATTAGTTCCGAACATGTATATTTAACATTTTCGACGAAAAAAAAGATAGCTGCTTCAGGAGCTGCAGTAATAGTGTAGCCACTTTTTGTGGGTTTTTTTGGATTTGAGTTTTTTATATCATTTTATTATTTTCTTTATTTTGTAGGTTTTTGTTTTTATTTCTAGTTAGTAGGCTATGTCATATTTACGCAGGCATTGACTCAAATGAAAAACTTAAGTTTTAAACTTTCTTAACAATCTTTACTACTAACATTTCTTTGATGCAGTTTATCAAAACTACTTTCCTACTCGTCGTTGACTATTTGTCCGTCAAATACTTTGATATCGAAATCCTGTTTATTAAATCTACCTCAACTTATTCGCCGACGTTATTGACCATATACATATCATGTATAGACGCACAGTCATCATCGATGTAATTCATATCCAAATATATACATTCTGCATGCTATACTTTTACTAATTCCTTGTAAAATATTGTTCTCAATTCATTGTTACTAAGTACATCGTTATACACATCCAAATATTAAACCACACAATGATACATCTCAATGTACATTATACATTAATCCAGGGAATTATGGTTATAGGGCAATGACTGAAATTGCGGATGATTAATCATAATTATCATGAATGAGTTTATCACAATGCTTTAATCTTGAAAGCCATCCCTAAATATAGACAACGTATAGACCCAGCTCATGTACTGTAACAAATTTTTGGCATTTTTTTGGGGGGGGGGGAGGGCTTCCCATTGGTTTTGGGGATTTTATATTTCAAAACAACTGCCAGTCCCACCAGACTGTGTTACGTTACCCTCTTCACTGTGAGTAAGTTTGCTTCCTTAAACAATACTAACTATTCAGTCACTTTTGTACAACATATTCCTTCTTAGATATCTATGCTATCACATTATTAACCATTAAAATTAATTTCTAAAATATCAAGCACATTTTATACGTACAACACCAAACTGCAATGCAATCTTAACGTTAAACTAATGTTACCAAAGACATCCACAAAAAAGCCACTTTATTGAAATATCAAATCACAGACGTAAACAACTATCATGATCAGTCAATGAACACCTGCAAGTGTGTCACATACAATCCTAAATGTTTAAAATTGAAATGAAAGGTTTTAAGTTGCTTCTGAATATGGGACGATACAGCATCAAGAATGGTAGAAAGTATTGTTACTTTCCATTGGAGCAAAAACAAAAGCTATATTCAACTCACAGGGAGTGGAAAAGAAAGGGTTCAAGAGGAGAATAATTCAGTGTGTGGGGGGGGGGGACAGGCGCCCTTGTCTGAATCTTTCGAGATAGGTTCACTATTTATGTCATTGTGTTCTTGAATTAAATTGTATACCCTTCTCGGGCAACCAGATGGTGATGCCGCGATTTAACATTCTCAATCTTAACTTAACCACGTGATAAGACAAACTGACGAGGGTTAAAGTCGCAAAAAAAATTTCTTCGGATGATAGAGTCACATTGTTCATCTCTTTCGCTGGCCTTTATACAGGCCCACACTTACTGGATGGCATATTTTTACGATCATCGTTAGTCACTCATGGGTCAAAGAACCAAACATTCTTCATCCTCGTCGTAATCATCATGATCATTTCAAATTCAGACGAAACACTTGCCATAGCCATTCCTTTGCGAGGCAGAATCACTCTGTCGCAGTGGAACCCCCTACGTTTTAATCTTACATATTATACCCTTGTTTAGAAATATTTTTACGGCATACATTCTCCTAAGAGGATCTTGAGCGTGTTTTCTGATGTGTGCCTGCAGCGTCATTATTTTTGCCCCAGTAGTTTTAGGTTCTTTGCAGTATCAACTTAATGATTTTGGCCTTTTGCATGCACTGCATAATTTTATTTGCTATCTAACGTATGTAGACGTAATTATAGGGAAGGTGCGTTATGGAGGATAATCACCATTCCCGGGGTCAGGGTGGACCAGGTGCTTACGTACACGCCTCCCCTAATAGGAAAGGTCCACGTTTTAAAACTATTCTTTTCGTACCTTGGCCAACCTATTTCATAATTGTGCCCTTCCCCTCTTTCTAACGGAAGACGCTACTGCGTATATATTCCCCCCCCCCGCGCTTCTGTAGTTTACCGAGGTGCAAGCTGGGCTGAATGTCCAACGTCGAGAGCGATGATCGATAATTATGTTTTCTTTAGTTTCAACCGAAGTTTGGAGAAGAAGTTGTGTATAGCACCTATCTAATCTCTTAGCATATTTTGGTTAATGACAACGGGCGATTGCAGTTCAGTATGCTTTAATAGTTCTCTGTTTTATCAGAAATTCTAGTAACAGTGTGGTTACAGCTCGCAAATAACCATAGTGGGCGTTTGCTACTCCAATATTGTTCTTAAACGTTGGCATTATTCTCCGCATGATTTGGTAGTGATTAGTCTTGTAATGTTTTTACAAATTTGGTAACACCTTATGACTACTTTTCAATATAGAATAATTTTGAAGCGTCATGATTTTTTGTGAGACCAAAACACAATCGTGGACTCAGTGTGTTTTTCCACACAAACTATGATCAATAAGTAGCTATTCAAAGACAAGTGTCATACATAAACGTGTGCATCCTCCTTTCTATTTCACGGCTGTATTAATTATTTTGTGCGCACAAAATCGTTCAGGAACTACGGATTAAAACCCAATAGATTTAGATTTGCAGAGTATTTGCAGGCAGTAAAACGGTGCGGGTTGAGTGTTATTTTTGGTAGGAATAATAGCAGCGTAAGATTTACTGCGATTCTTTGCCACCCATGGGCGGCTGACAGGTAATTTGCATACAGCTCTAGGTCCTCTGTAGTCCTAATTCTCTAAAAATATTGTTGAACATGTCGCCCCAAGTACTGCCCCATGCAGCTGCATCTTTGACTACATTCTTACTGTCTTCTCTTATTTTTATCGCTTCCAGTGACCCAACTCTTTTCTCCCAGCCTTTATTTTTTGTTGCCTTCTCTGTTTCAATCAACATGTCTAAATACTCTTCTATTCTTACTGGATTAGGCTTGAGGGCGATCTGTTCGAGGCGCTGGGTACAACGGTGAGAGTCCTGGATTAACTCATACACAGCAGCTTCCGCATTGGCCAGATCAGTTTCGATTTTATTAATCATTTCTTCACGGCTTTGTTTTTGCCCGTAAGCGTCTCTGTATCGGTTCTCGATGTCAGCATAAGCCTGCTTTTCTCTCACCGTTTTCCACCGATATATGAAGGACTCTTTAACGTGGTCGCCCGAGGAACACTTGCCAGGACACACAGTGCAATAGCCCCCCCACGACATTGCATGACAAAAATAATTGAATGGAGCGAAGGTACATGGGTAATGGCAAGTGTAGCGGCAATTTGGACAATTTCGTGCGGGCTTTTCCTCATCCCTATTTTTTTCAGGTTTTCTAACTTCAGTGCCGTATGCGAAATACTTATTTGCCTCAATATCCTGTTCACGTTCTTCAAACATTTGTTTATCTTCGTTTAACTGTGCCCTTTTGTGAGAAGCCAACTGAATCTGAGGCTGCAAACCTTCAAGAGCAATCTCCAGACGTTTTTGTTCGTCCAGAACTTCTACTGTGAGGGTAAAACTTCGCGGCTGTAGGTGATCAAGAGAATCGAAAAACTCTTTCATACTTGTATATCCCATTTGCCAGAACATTGCATCAAACGACATTCCACCATCTCCTCGACTTGCCAATAGTGCCGAGTTGTTGAACTTGAACGTCTTACTGAAAGGCAGCTTTGCCTTTTTAACTGCCTCGAGGACTGGCGGTGATTGCCCGTCAGAAAACGTGATCAGCAGCAATATATTTGGCTCAATATCCTCACCAAAGATGGAAAGGATTGAATCAAAGATATATTGTTGTGTTGGTGTGAGACGTGCTTGTGAAGACTGAACAACGAAACCTACAGCATCGATGTGATCCACTCCATGGGCTTCGGGGTGTGAACAAAATTCCCGGATCTGTTCAACAATAGCTCGATCGCGCTCAATACCTCTGGTATCCCCGAACCCTGGCGTGTCAATGATTGTCAACGTGTAGGGAATGTTGTGCTGTTCGTTACTGTGTATAGTGTATGATGATATGATTTGTGTTTGACTATGTGCCTGTGACTGTGCCCCAGTCCCATGTTCATCTACCAGCTTGAATCTGAAGTTATCTTCCCACTTCACCCCAAAGATGTAATTGATCATCGTATTGATTAGGGTACTCTTACCGGCGCCTGCCTCACCAACGACCATTATGACCTTGTGGGGGGAGTACATCCCCGATCGCACACCGGAGCTGTAACTACTGAATGCTTGTTTCGTAGAAACAAACTCCCTTTTTAACGGAACTAAGAAAACATCAGGGTACCCATCCTCTGATAATACCAATTGAGAGCTCCGGGAAAGCTGTTCGGCATATCTGACCACACTTTTGGGGTTGTCACTGGCGCTGGCGGTACTCATAGTGAAGACACTTTGTCCAGACCTAACCAACATGAACAAATAACAGATACAACATGTACAAACAATTCAATGGCTTATGCAGTTGGGGTTTTGCTGGCGCTACATGTGGAAGCCTATATACTCCATTGCATCCTAAATCTCTCACCGGCTGTAACTTTTGAATTAGAATTGGCCCAAACATTTGAGGTTCTAATTATCCCTTTAATGCCAATGAATTTGCCAACCCACAGTGTGAGCGACATGCATGAAAATGTTTTCCATTTGATAGCCAGTATCCTGAATCGATAGAATTGAATTGTTTGTACTCTGCGATCAGTTGAATTAGACTCGCCTTGTCTCGTAAAAAAAAAAATTATACTAGACTTCCAGAGAAAAATACTCCCATGACCTTGTACTTTTAAGAAATCATCGGTTTCATTACCAGAGAGGATTTTTGAAAAGGAGGGTGTGGCGTCTTTTAGATGACAATAACAGCAATAAACAAATGCCAAAAGTTAAAAACTTTGGTCGTTGCCTACGGCGCTCCATGAGTGTCATCCACTTATCTTTATACTGAGATGATTTATCACGTCACGTTGACATTAACAGAAGCACAATAATTTTGGTGAATTCTTTAAGCTTAATCGATGCTTCCCGTATAGCTTGATAAATATAGGTTTTTAAGCATAAACATAGCTCCAGATGAAAACTGAGGAATTTATAATAGGCTACATTTTGGTATGCACTCAATGTTGGATAATTTTAACTATAATGTGTCGATATAAATGTTGGTTATATTCCGTCAATATAAGATTGTGCTTAAATTCATTTTAAAAAAAATAACCTATACACTGTTAAAACTGCCCGTACATTTACGGACTCCGTAAAATGAAATATTCCGTTATTTCGGCGTAATTATACGGACTTTCCGTAAATGCAAATAGTAATTATGCTAATTAGCGTGATTACAATCAACCACATCGGCCCAAACACCAACACATAATATATTACATTTAAGTACATATTGTTTTTTTTCACCAACAAAAGTGTTCACATGTCCAAACTCATGTTAATGGTCTGTATATTTTACGGGATGAAAAAACTTTTCCGGAAATTTCGCTGCAGGAAAACGGAACGCTATTTTCTTTTCCAGTTCTGGAGAAGAATTTGCCGAGAAGAAAACAAGAAGATGATGAAGAATAATAGTAAATTCTTACAATAACGATAAGTGTTGGCCTAAAGGCCCATCACCTAATTCTTACACTAGCAATAGGTGTTAGGCTTCGGCACAACAGCAAAGTCGTTTGGGCTCATGGCCCAACACCTAATATGGCCCAACTCCTAATAATTGCGCAGATTCTACATTAGAGCTCTAGTGCACAGTACACACATGTACAACATGTCGTAAAAATTCAACTTTATTTGGTCTTCGGTCATTCACCTGAGTCCCACATGTCATAGACGTCGATTTAAAAATATTGTATTACAATACACTGCATCTGAATCGACCAATGATATTCTTCGTCCTGATTTCGGAATGAAATGACAGCTGACGTGCGTGGTCGCATAAATCTGAATTGATACTCATATTAGACGTTCGACCGGAGATTGGATCCATTGAGAACGGGCGAAACTAATACTACAGGTTAAACCTACACCGGTTGGAAATATAAAATGAAAATAAAAAAACCTGGCTCATCCAATTCAGCTGGCTGCATTTCGAGATCTACCCGATGTTTTCCAATAATTAATATTCCCCAATACCGATGTTCCCCGAAATCCTTAGGATTAGGGTAAGGGTTAAGGTAAGGGTAAGGATTTCGGAGAACATCGGTATTGGGGAATAGGGATTTGGTAACATAGGTATGCACTCCTGCATTTCGACAATTTTACATTATCAATAACAAACGTAACATTTTCGTCACCCACGTAAGTTGCGGAACAAACGTACAAATTACCTTGAAACTGCAAAATGTAGTTGTTGAAATATAACCGTAGTATACAGGCGAAGGCTGACTGCACAGTTTTGACAATAAATATAATTTTTTTTCTCAGGCAGCTTAGTGAATGGATGTGGACATTCCGGACAAAAGCGCCAAATTTTCCATACATGCTCCCTAATGCCTTAGCTTTTCATTTTTTGAAACTTATCCAAGTATGGCGGCCATCGTGGATTTTAATGATGGCGGCCATTATAATTTTGTATCTACCAATATCTCATCTTCTAAACCACTTAGGATTAAAGTTTTGGTGTCTAAACATACATTTCAGGGTAGAGGAATGCAACTGTACCATTTGGAATAGTGTCAAATGGTTAGTTTGTCCGAATACAGTATTGTGGTCATCTTGTATTTGAAACATGGCCGCCATTTCTCTCGGAATACGTGTATTGCATCTTTAAGCCACTAAGGATCAAAATCTTGATGTCGAAACATATATTTTCAGGGTCATGGAACGCAACTAAACAATTTGGATTAGTACTTCATGTATTTGGGATCGTGTCAAAATGGTCAGTTTGTCCAGATACTTAGTACAGCAGCCATATGGTTTGCCGTAAAAGGACCAACACTGGCCCGATTCGGGCTATGTACCTTTTTGCCATTATGGTTTGAATTGAAAGGGCCGGCACCGGTACCATTCAGGTTGTGTACCGTCTTGCCACCCCCCCCCCCCCGCCATAAAGGGGCCAACACCGACCCGATTCAGGCCTTTTACCGTCTTTTCATCATGGGTTATCGTAAGGACCTGCAATGGCCCGGTTCAGGCTGTGCGCCGTCTTGCTGTTATTGTTTGCCTTACAAAGACCAGCACGGGTCCGATGCAGGCTCTGAACGGTGTTATCATTACCGTTTGCCATTTAATAGGGCAAGCCCTGGACAAATTCCAACTCTGTGGTGTATTCATATACCGTCAACACGGAACCGTTTTGGCGCAATCGAGCAAGCATTAGCCCGCTTCTGGTCTTGTACCGTTTAAACTGTACACAACTGCCACAACAAACCCATAATCAGCTGGTATCGGCCCAATGCCGCCCTGCTTTCTGGGTCAATGCACTCTTTGAACCTAGGCAGGTAGAAATCTCTGGTACTACAGGATGTGATACAACTCTACCTCTCCATAACTTCATGCAGCTGAACCACTATTGTAGCTCCATTTGATTAAGGTGGGTCTGTAATCGGCTAGTCCTTTAGCGGCTGGTAGTTTTCCATTGAACCCATGTTGATGTAGCACCTGTTTGGAGGGTTTTCCGCCGTTGTTATAGTATAACCATGACAATCGGAGGTCGTTTGCTCCCAGTTGTTGCTTCCAGTGTTGGAGTCTTGCTACTTCCCTAGATGCTGTGAAGGAGTGGACATGGCTGAGGAAGCTTTTCTTGACTTCAGCCTTTTGTGCCGAAGCTTGCCGTCCCTGGAGGAGACGACACTCGTCATTTATCAATATTTGGACATCTTAGCAAGGCTGGCAACTTCCCTTCGGAAATCCGAAGAGGAAATGTCAGCAAGGATGTGCAAGTTACTTGTGTTGGTGGGTTTCAAGCATTCAGTGATCAAACTGCATGTTTTTAAGGCTGGGTCAGGGTTCATGTTATGGGCTGATCACTCCCAGGCGGGGCACGCAATACTCTGCTGAAGAATGGCGCGGAGCCAAAACGGTTCATATTAGCGTGTGTGGTTTGGATCTCCTTTCGGAGGTTGTTCAATTTCTTTATGATGTTGTTACGGGGAACTAAATTTGGATGACTTGAATGACAGGATACGATGGAGGATCATCCTAAGTAGACAGGATGGCTACAAGAGACCAAGGTGTGTTACAATGGTGTTCCGGACCATTTGATGTTAAGGGGTCGGTTGGCTTCGCTATTAAAGGGAATGTACCTCATTGACTTTTGCTGTAATTTTCAGAAATGAACTATTTGAGGGGTTAGTATAATAGATCAAATACTGTTACACTGACAAGTTTGAAATTTTGTGTTCGAAAATGCTGGAAAAACCAAGAAAAACAAAAACGTTCAAGTAGTCCGGTTCCCTGACTGCACTAAAGATGAAATAAATCAATTTATTGATGCCCGAAAATTGTAAAGTAAGGAAACCAGTCTAGCTGGCCTGCACCCGTTCATGAACATGTAACCAATAGCAGACAAAATTTGGACTGAAAAAAAGATAAATTTGGAGCAGTAGTTGAAAAATAGTTACGTTTTTCCAACGGTGGTCGGCCGACTTTCATTTACCAACATCCTATTATGGTATTTCGTAAAACAATTGGTAGTTTTGTTTTCCAATGTTTGCAAATATTGTATATTCCCATTAACGTTCCTGAGATGAAACGAGCAGACCTGGGTCTTAGCGAGATTGGCACGGAGGTGATAGCGCTCATAGTATAGAAACGGCTAAGTGCTGAGGTTAGTGTGTTGCTTCTATGGCTACGAACGGAATCTTTTGAGAAGTAACACAAAGATCATCTGGGTAGATGAAATGCTCAGTGTCCTGGTCTAAATTAAATTTTGATTTGTTTTGTGTAGACATTATACAGCAAAGGAGCTAGCACAATGTCTTGAGGTAGGCCATTTTCTTGCCGTCGACAGCGTTTTTGTTTTGTTCTGAACAACAAAGAAGCTGTCTTTGAGAAGGGCTCGGATATGATCCGTAAATGCGAGGTATTGGGCCAACTCGAAATCTTTTTAGAAGGCGGCAGTGGTTTATTTGTAGTTTTGAAACCCATCCTCAGCTTGCTGTGCCAGATTAAGAGTTGGCTTGTTGTTGACTTGCAAGTCGCAATCCAGGTTGCTGAGGGAAAAGGGATGTTTCAGCAAC